TAATATAGGCTAGGCCGTAGACCCTTGTAGACCGGTCTAATCCATTTACACCCCTAGCTGCAAGCGATGCAGCTAACCATGTGCAGTGCGGCTGTTAACTTGCATCCATTTCACACATACCAAAGTTGCCAATTACATCAGTTTGCAGTGCACAAGCTATGATGCACGGACACTGACACGGGACACGGGGCACGACACACTAAAAAATGTCATATTTTGACACGTTGGGACACGTTTTGATATTAAATAAAATTTTTAATATATATAATATAATTTATATTTAATACATATAAGAGTCTATAATAAGTCATATAACCAATCAAATATGTCCGAGCGTGTCCGAGCGTTGACCGCGTGTCCAAAAAAGTTGACTGCATGTCAAAAAAATGTGTCAAAACGTATCGGAGAGTTGACCGCATGTCCCTAAATATTGACCGTGTGACGGACACGTGTTCGTGTCGGACACGCAAAATTTTGAAAATTTCCGTGTCCGTGTTTTCCCGTGCACAAGTACCAATATTTGCATGCTACAAAATTTATATTTCCAAAGTACTAAGGGCCATAACTTATGTTTCTGACAACATAATCATTTATAAAAAATTATGTATCCTCTTTATTTGGGTCCAACTTCTGCATTAGATCACAATATTTTTATGTGTCAAAAGAAGTGTGTTTGTATTGTGTTTTTTCTTCGGATGATTGTTTACTTGAATGAAAGTAGCCAATGGTTTTGTGCGTTGGGGAAGCAACTCAAGAGCCCTAGCTACTCTTTAAACGTTATCATCCTTCTTTTCTTTTCTTTTTTGCTTTAAACTCTAATTCTTAAGAATGATTACCCATAATAGATTCAATTCTTATTAACATCATTCCAAAAGAAGATATTTATAGGAATGGATCCTCTCATGTTAAAATTTTACATTATCTAGTTATATGAAATTTTTTGTCTATCTCTTTCTTCATTAATTATAATTGGACCACATCTATTTAATACATGTGAAGAGAGAGATAAACACAAAAATTTCACATGACTAGGTTATGTAAAATTTTAACATGAGATGATTTACTCTCGACATCAATAGATATTGTAAAATACCGTTGGATGATATTGCATTTATGATTTTTATATTTTTCTAATATACCCCTTGTACGAGAGCCCATTGAACGTGGAGGGCTGATGATGCATCAAACTCAGTTTACATTTGCTAAGAAATTCCATAATATTTAATTATTATTTTAATAGAATGAGGGACAATGATGATCACACTTGTGACCACTTGGTCAGTGAGACTCTAATACCATGTAAAACATCTATTATAACTGCTAAAATAGGTCAGTCCATCCCATTGTGGATTAGTGCCAAAAGTCCCGCAGGGTCAAATGACCCACAATAATAAGGTCCGCATGGACCAAAAGCCCTATGGGCTCAGGCCAGCCCGCAGACCATTTAAAATTATAATTTTAAAAACTTTTATTTTATTTTTATCATATTCAATACACTCAAAATTATTTTAACAAATAAATATTTAACACTTTCATAAAATATTCTATACAAAATATAATTTTTTCATAATTTAATTTTTTTTTATAAACACAAGGGGATTAAACCCCAGCAAACAAAACAACAAAAACAAACTAACAAGGAAGAGTAACTAAACGCTCTCTCCCCATAGACGCAAGGTCCGCCATGAATAACAGAAAAATTCCACCAGGAGGTTCTTCAAAGAAAATCTGATCAACCTGCTCCACTGAGTTTAACAAGTAGTTTGCCAACCAATCTGCACATATATTCCCTTCCCTAAAATTATGCTGAATTCTAACTTCCCATTCCTTACCAATCCATGTTCGTATACGAGAAAGCAACCGCTCCTCACGAACTGCTGCACCTTGATTGGTGAGCCCAGTGATTGCCGAACTCGAATCACTTTCCAAAATGACCCTTCTGTAGCCAGCATTCCAAGCCACCTCAAGGCCATGAAGAATACCCCAAAGTTCTGCTTTATAAGCTGAGCAAAAACCCAATCTAAAGGAGAAACCAGTTATCCAATTACCTTGTGAATTCCTTATCACCCCCCGCAAGCAGCCAATCCCGGATTACCACGATCTGCTCCATCCGTATTTATTTTTACAAAACCATCGATAGGAAACTGCCAACAAATATTCAACCGACTATAGCCAATATTCTTGTTATGTCTACCAGCCTCACTATAACTAACCTCAATATCATGCACACACTTGGAAATAATCTCAATCTTGATCTCCAAAGAAGGAGTATGTTGATCATGATTTTGCATATTTGTCCAAAACCAAATTTTCCAACAGGTTACCATGAATGCTGTTCGCCACTTCTCTTGCACACCGCTAGGAATAATCACAAAGTTACTATACAACCATTGATAAAGATCCTGGTTGAAAAACGCTTCTGTTAACTGATATGGGAAGAAACCGATCCCAAATCCATTTTGCATTGGTACAATCTCTCAAAGCATGCAAAATCGTTTCCTCATTTTCCCCACAACACGGACAACTACTATTACCCTCATTCCACCTAGCAATTCTACTTTTGGTTAATAACTGATGATGTAACAATTTCCACCCAAATATTTTCACCTTTTGATGACCATTCCATGACCAAAGGCAATTCCACATTTTCCTAGCTTCTACATCCACGTTTGCATGACCAGAAATGCAATTATAAATCTCACTTACCATGATTAAATGACTGTTATTGAAACTCCAAATCAGCCTGTCCGGTCCATCATCATCTTTTGGAGGCAGAATACTATAAATCATATTAGAGATATGACTTGGAAGCATTGACCGAATCAACCCCATATCCCAATTCCCAGCATGAGTGGCCATATCAACCACTCTCAGATTGTCATTTCTTACACTGTCCACATCGATAACCAGCTCCTGCAACGTACTTTCCATCGGAAGCCATTTATCACCCCAAAACCGAATCTCCTTTCCATTACCTAAATCCCACAACAAGTTTCCTTCCATAGTGTGCCACATCCTACACATATTTTTCCAAAGACTAGAATCTCCATTTTTAGCTTCAAACATAGCCTGATTTCTGTTACCCCTTTTATATTTAGCAAGAAGCACCTGCGCCCATAACTGATGAGGCTGCGAGTACATCCTCCAAAATTTTTTAGCCAAAAAGGCATCATTCATTAGTTCGAGACTTTTGAAACCCAATCCTCCATCTACCTTCGAAGCAGTAATTACATCCCAACTAATAAGATGATGTTTACGGTGGTTATCTTGATCGCTCCAAATAAAATCCCTCTGAATTCTCTCAATTTGATTGCAAACTGATTTAGGAAGCTTGCAGCTTTGCATCTGAAAATAAGGAATTGCAAATAACACAGATTGAGATAATGTAATGCGCCCAGCTTGAGAAAGACACTGTTTCTGCCAGTTGCTCATTCTTTCTTGCACTTTATCCACTAAACCAACATATAAACTCTTCGAAATTCGCCCATATTGCATTATAGCTCCAAGGTATCTTCCCATATTCCAAACCCGTTTAAAACCACTAATTTGAACAATTTTATCCACTGTTTCAGCAGGAGTATTCTTTGAGAAAAAAATACAGGTTTTATCAACACTCAATTTTTTGCCAGACATCTCCTCAAACAGACTCAAACATTTTAACAAGGTGAGAATTTGATCTTCCTTTGCTTCCATAAACATCATCAAGTCATCTGCAAAAGCTAGATGCGATATCTCCGGTCCACCTCTCCCTGCCTTAATTGGCTTCCACAAACCTCCTCTATTGGCCGTAAAGATAATGTGAGAAAGCTTCTCTAGAGCCATAACAAAAATATATGGAGATAGTGGATCTCCTTGACGCAAACCTCTTGAAGTATCAAACTCCTCAGTCTTTCCACCGTTCAATAAAACATTGATCCGAGAAGATGACAGACACTGCATGATTATATTAATCAGAACTTTTGGGATTCGAATCTCCTCAAGAGTCCTACGCATAAAGGACCAACTAACTCTATCATAAGCTTTAACCAAATCAATTTTGATTGCCATGTACGCTTTTCTTCCTTTCATTTTATTCTTAACATGAATAAGCTCTTGAGCAATTGTAATGTTATCATGGATTTGCCTATTTGGCACAAAACTAACCTGGATAGGAGAAATAATTTTATCCAAAACATGTTTTAGCCGAGAAACAATTGTTTTGGTTAACAGCTTGTAGATAATTTTTAATAAAATAACATTTGTATACAAATAAATAAGTAAAAATGTAAACAAAATTTTAATATAAGTAAACCATACCCAACAAACTACAGCTGAGTATATTAATTAGAGCTCTATAGTTTTCCACTTATTTCAGTTGCACTAAGTAATTGAGTCCTGTTATTTATTTTTGGCACAAGTTCACGTGCTCTTTTCTCGTGCAATTACATTTCAATTTGCAGTTATAATATCTGTTAGCACTGGTTTTATTCTGGTATTCTATTAGCTGCTATATATAGAGACCTACCGTATTGATTTAGTATAATGATTCTATGAAAGTTTCAATTCAATCTTCAAGTTCCTTCATTCTTCACTTTTTCTGATTGTAATAGAGTAATTGCTAATCTGTATGTATTAAATAATGAATTTTTTAAAATATAGTTAACCTCAAGCCCTGAAGCAAATACGTGGTTAATAAGGATGGATTAATGACACAAAAATTTGATAAACAATAACCCATTTTATTTTAAAAGAAAAATATTTTTGTTTTTTCTTCTGAAAAAATTTTCCTACCACACTTACATAAAAGTGAGTGAGTTCCACAAATATTTTTTGTTTCTTCTTTTTATAACGGAACTCATTAACTTTTAACGTAAGCATAGCGAAAGAAGGTTGGGCTATTCTTTTTTTTTTTTTTTTAAATAGGTTGGGCTATTCTTTGCTTAATAGGCAACAACACCAAATTGAAAACAGTAAAAATTTGGCGGAAAAAAAAAATTGAAACACATATGAACAACTTGGCCTTAAGCCCATTTGGCCAGAAGAGACATACAACCCGCTCCAATGAGAAGAGATAGATTGGCTCCTAATTGAAGCCTACCACTTTTTTGCATCCTTGGACTCATAAAATCAGCTGCAAGAAGATCTACAAGTGCCATATATATTAAGATCCCAGATGATGCTGCATTGAAGGTCCCTTGCACAATAAGTGCAGTTGGACTGTTTTCATGATAAACATTTGTGATCCCAATACCTATTGCAATCCCTAGTGGAGTAGTTAAAGCAAAGAATAATCCCATGATTGTAACTGATAGCGTCTTCAATTTTGCCTGCAATAATTTCACTTCCCAAAAGTCACAAAACAATGTAGGTTTTATCTTCTCTATTTTTCACTAGAGATGTAACAGAAATATAAAATATCATATCTATTATTGCTAAAGTAATTGTATAGATACATAGAGAGAGCCAAATCCCTAAATGTGTGGTGTGGCCAACAATGAACGAAAGTTTAACATCTGTTTTAATAGTTTCTTCAAAAAGTTCATTTTTTTCGCTACTTTTGAGGTATAAAAGATGAGAATATGTCTCCAGCACATATAAAAAGTGGGTAGGATTCATTTTTTTATTTTTCTCTCTTTACTTTAATGAATTTCATATATTTTTTTATATATTACACGTGACATGATAAATATATTCTTCATTAAAGATACTACTTTCAATTTTTAAATAGAAAGGTTCACTTTGAATGATATGCACGAAGCAATCCTTTTGCAAAAAAATTAAGAGCAAAGAGATACATACAAAAAAGTAGTCATAACAGAAAAAAAAAATTAAAATATATACTTTCTGTCTTTCTCTCATAAGGATATGATACGATACGGTCATTTTCTTTTAGTCAACAGTTAATGGAATTCTCCGTCATTTGAATAGGAAAAAACAACCACACCCAACAAATGCATAGGTTTTAAAGTGTTGATTAGTTTTTTTTAATAATTATTTTAATGATTCAAAAATATGTAATTTTGTTTTTAAATTTAATCTTCTTGACTAATAAAAAATAATATTTTCTATGAGAGGAGATAAAGCTATTTTTGACTTTAATATAAAATTAAGTGATATCATTTTGAGATTTGAAATAATTATTACAAGATATTTTTAGAAATTTTATTTTATAAAATAGAAACAAAATTTCATAAATATCCTGTATTTTTTTTTTAATCTCAAATGGTAGAAAAAGATAATTTATCTCATTTAACAGAAAAAATATACAAATTAAATAATTACGGATAGGATTGCTTGAAAACTCGATGACTAATCATCCGAACTTTTATGCTTTCTTGGAAACTTCCTAGAGAGATACTAAAAGAATTAGGAAAAGTCCGAACCAATCAGAGAGTTTCATGCTTCTCACCTACACCGAACCAATCACATGGCTCCCAATCGCAAAAATCTCAATACAAAGTCATTTTACTCTTTTTGTGTGTGTGTGTGTCGGTGCTGTGCTTAGGCCATGATATAGTTTAATAAAAAATTTCATCAGGAAATATTAGATGCAAGTGAAGAAGCACTTATCTTTATGATATATATTATATAGTACCTGAGTTATGCAACTTCCAAGTCCCATCCCCTCAAAGAACTGGTGAAAAGTCAAAGCAGCCACCAAGGGCTTTATTGTCTTTGGATTCTCTGAGGCTCCCACAGAAATTCCTATTATGACTGAATGAACCACAATTCCCAGCTCCAGTACCTATAATGCAATCAAAACCCTCAATCACAATCAATAACAATTCAAAATTCAAAAATTATCATCAACAAAACAACTCTCGATTCAAGTGGTAAAGAGCTTTCGAGTTTAAAAATTCAAAAATTATCAACTTAAGATAAGAAGAAAACCCATCTTGAAATACTACATTTAAAAGTTAAAAAAATTAAATATATTACTTGTGATATGACCCGATGTCGAAGAAGTTCTGAGGACTCAGAAAGAACATTTCCATGTGCATGACCATGTGTTGCATGTGTGTGAACATGCACATGCCCTTCATGCCCGGGTTCCTTCTCCAAATCTGCAGTCTCCACTTGGGTATCCTTAAAATGATATTTCTGAAAATAAGCAGTGGCATAAGTATCAACCATAAGGGTACCCATAGCAGTGCACATAGCCACAAATCCAGTGAATGGAAAATCTCCCCATGGATGCGCATTTAAACAAGGTGATGTAAGATCATTAAATGCATCAGGCAACACATGAATAAAACCAGTGGCCAATATAACACCCGCAGCAAAGGCCTTAGTTACAAAGAAAATATCCTTCTCAGGGCTTAGAGCAGGTATAATTTTACCAAGGAATGGGATACAAACACCCACTGCACTACAAATTAGTATTGATACTAAAGCTGCTATTTTGTATCTAAGAGCTTTGGCTTTATCTCGAACATCATCCCCTGGGTCACATGTGCAATCACCAACAACTAAAGTTGGGAGTACAAGGAACACAAAGATAAAAAAAGTCAAGAGTTGTATGTTTCTCTTAAACCAGGCCATGGTGATAGGATACGAGGAAGCTTGAAAGTTTAACGAAAAAGAGAAAAATAATGATCTATATATTGTGTCAAGGTAGGTCCTGAAAATCAGGATTAATAGGAGATTTCGAGGTGCATTTATATAGATGGCAACGATCGCCATGGTTTTATTTATTTATCTATTAATTACTTGACTAACAATGTGTTGTCAAATGTCGACATGATAGTGTAACATATAATAAAAAAATATTTTTAAAATGGGTTTAGATACTGAAGTCCACTCTTGAAAGGGAAACAAATGTACATTATGTCGAAACTTGATTTGAAGTGTGCTAAGGGACGTAAGAAAGAAAATAACAAAATAAAACGAAAAAAATGGGGTTCATTGTCAACGATGTCAGTTTCAACCAAACGGTGGTAGCTCAGTTGGCGCATGGGAGCTAAGCAGGTGGGAATAAGAGCACGTGTTTGAATCTTCTCAGTACCACATTTGGGAGGGGTTTAAACTGGACCCGCCCCGAATCGAATTAGTTACGAAGCGATGAACCGATTGGAATACTTCTAACAAAACGATTACAATTTCAATTTTCAAAAAAACACCAAACTAATTACCTACAAGACAGAAAATAATAACAAAGTAGGGACCACAAAAAAATTGAAAAAAACAGGTACGTTTCATGCCTCAGCAGTCATTGCTGAATGCTAACTAATTATTGTACCCAACGGAGAGTCAACCATGTATTCTTTATCAATTTAGCCCACTTTGTCCCATGTACCGGAAGCTTGATTAGAAAAAAAAAAAATTCTTAAAATATATAGAAATTTATTTATAAACTCTATATTATATATGAAAAAAAATCAATCATATAAAAGAATAGAAATGTAATTTTATGGCTTTCAATTTTAGTTAAAAATTATAAGTACTTTTTAATCGGGATGAATCATCTAACTTAAGTATAAAAATAAGAAATTTTATTCTTCACCTCTATTGATCTCTGTATGTTTTATTGCTGTAATTTATTAAATTATATCGATTAATTATTTACTAATTCTCAATAAATTATAATGGTCATATTTATAGATATAAATGACTGATAGGAAGACTAAGACATCTTTTTAAATATATATATATATATATATATATATATATATATATATATATTGGAAGCAACATCTTATATGTTTTTATACAGGAATCAAAAGATCCTTCTTCCTTTTTAAATTTAAATACTTATTTATTTTGTTCAAAGGGTAAATTATTTTAGGTTGTAGATGCTCAATTTTTTGTATTATAGAATTATGATTGATCATAAGCATTTTATTTAGGTCAGATAATCAATTGAAACAAATAATTGATTATTACATTAAATAATCGAAGGTAAGATTGAATAATGGTAGCGGCAACTGGCAACCAAGTTTCAAATAAAGAAGATAAGGATTGTTTAGGTAGTTTGGAGGGTTGAATATAGATAGAGGGATAAAATAGAGGGGAAGCATCTTCGGCATATAAATAACAACACAGTAGAAGACTATATAATCTTTGCTAAAAAATTTGTTATTCTAGGATTGGATGTGAAGGTATTTCTAGTATATAAATAATAACTTTTAGCTAGATAGCCTCACCCCAGGTTGCCCTGCATTGTTGACATGTTAGAAAGTTTCAAACAGAGGGACTACTATGAAAAATAATAATATCAAACGTTCCGTATTATAACCGGGGTTTGAAAGAAAAATCCAGGCATGAGTGATTTGGTGTAGGTGAGACTCCATTATAATTGCTTTAATGAAAAATTAAGTCACTCAATTATTATTGGAAATAATGGTAATTGAATATGGCTCCATTATCATTAATAATGATAATTTAATTGACTTAATGAAAATAATGAATAGATTATGCGGAAGTGTTTTAGACCATTGCAGTTTGGGATGCAACAGATCATCATCGTTTAAAATTACCTTTTTATGCACAGATCTTGTGTAGAATCTTCTCATGTACGATTCATCTTCACGAACTGTTCACCTCAACGTTGCAGCACGAACAACCTCCTTGAAACTGGATAGTGACAGATCTTTCAGACTATGTCTCAAGGGAAAATAGAAAGCATGTGGGTACTCTCTCACTTTCAGAGAGATAACCTTACCTCAACCTCTACAACCACCAAGTAAAGACTAAAAAGGTTGATGATAATATATATGGGTTCCAAGAAATTTTAGCCCTAAGCTGAATGTGTAACAGCCTGTTGTACACCGGTATTGTTAACATTGATTATGATATTAAGCGCAGTTACAATCACAACAATTCATTTATAAAAATGCGAGTAAACTTTTTTCTTTTCATTACGCGAGCATTTAAAACAATAAAAGCGTAATAAATAAAATCCGTGACCGTAACTGAAAACTCTTTGCGAAATAATTATTTAAGCAGCCTAAATATCATATAACACTTCTCTCAAGTCACTAAGGGGTTCCCATAAATCCACTTTGCTAAAATCTCACTTTTACGTTTTCTACCTATTCGAACGTGGTTCGGTATTTTAATTACTACGGACAAACCGCATGCCGCAAACCTCTCATCTTTTAGTATGTTATTCTAGACTTAATTACCTTTCTAACAAGCTATCACACGAGTTATAAAGTTCTCGTTTGCTCCGGTTATCGCCGTTGGAAGTTGGACAAGCAAATCAGCCAGCCAACCTCAAACAGGGCTCTTAACAGCCTACACTCTCTCAATGATTATGGCAAATTCACTCATCCAATTGCTCTCAAATTTTATACAGTAAACTAGACACCTCAAGCTTCAATTTGACATATCACACACCTAATTTGACCAAGAAACGAAGCAGAAATAAATTTTCCAAAAACTACCAGAAACAACCCCATGTGCAGGGGCGTTCTGAACAATTCATGTTCTCTGTCTCCTACAGGGCTGCGTGGTTCTTGTAAGAACCCGCACTATTAATTAAGGAAATTAATTAATTAATTGTGTGAAATTAGGAAATAATTCCATAATTGACTCTAATAATTATGATAAGACTTAAATAATTATGGTAAGTGATTAATAATGCTGAAAGTCGCTTTTCTAATGAAAAGTGCAGACACCGGTTCTGCTACTCGGTATAAATGCGTACCGATAAAGTATCCCGGAAAATTATAATAATTTCATGAATATTCCTAGAAATATATAGGACTCTGATTTCAAGTTTCAAGTTAAAATACTAAGAACTGGTGCTAGAACTTATACTGGCTATGTAAAAGCGCGTACCAGAAAGGTGCTGCGAAAAATAAAATAAAAATATGAAAAATCTTAGAAAAATGAGTAGGTTCAGAATCCTAAGTTTGGGATTAAATTGTTAAGCGTTGCTATTAGCGCTAATACAATGCGATAAAACTTTAGTGGCCTATATAAGGCCTTGGCACACACTTCTAGGTCAGACTTTGTTGCCTGCTACGTGAAGTTTCTGAGGTGAGCTGCTACCACCCTCTTCCTTGGCCTTCCTTGCATGAGAATCTCTCCAAGTCACCTCTTTTCTGTCATTTCTTCATCTCTAAACAAGTAAACACTTGGGTGTGAGCCTTAGGGAGTGGGAAAAGAGTCATCTTTTGAGTTGCAGATGCTGTGAGTGTATTGGGAAGGGGCTGACTTTTTGGTGTGTGTTGTGAAAGCCTTTTTCTTGGTGTTTTGTGCTTCAAGGAGTGGTCTTTGATGAGAAAGGACCCTTCTTGGTGTGTCATTTTTGTGCATTGTGAAGTCAGAATCTTGGGAGCTTTATAGAAAGCTCCAAGAGCATTCCTTTTCTGTTTTGAAACCTTGGGTGAGTTGTTAAACTTTGATCATGAGTTTTCTTTGCTTAAAGGTTGAGTCTTGGCATGTTAATGAGTTAAACAAGTAACCAACTAGTATATGATCCTAAAAGAGAATAAAAATGCATGCTTGGACGATCTAGTGGGTTAAAAGTTGAATCTTTGGAGTGATATCTCACGAAATGCAGAAACTGCATTCTGTCGCAAAATATCCGGATATTAGTATCAGGATATGGGGTCTCGTGATATCCGAATATGGATATCCGGATATGCATATCCGAAAATGATTTCTGGATATTGGATATCCGAATATGTCCCCGACAAATATCCGGATATTCTGGGTTTTCGAGAACAGTAGCGGTACTGTTCATACAGAAGGCTGTTTTGGGTTTGTGGACCCTAGATTGCGGAAGTTGAACTTCTGTATCACTTAAGCTAAGTCAGAATCTATGTGATTAAGAGCTTATGACTTTGTGAGAAGCCTAAATACATGAAACATAAAGGAAAGTCGTGGCCTTTATATCGTATGCTTGTTGTGCTTGAATATTGATATAATTATTGGTCCAAACAGATTGTGATTGTGATGTGTGTGGACTTTGAGCTTGGTTGGACTCTTGACTTGGATAGTTAGCTTGCAAGGTAAGCTTTCACGTCCTCAGTTTAGCCATTGTTTGTTCCACCATGTCCCATGGGGGGATGGTGTAACACCCCGTATATATTCGGTTTGTTATCATATCATCGTATTAAGCCACACTTAATTTAAAAATGCAGAATATCTTTTTCTGTTCAATTATGACGTCATTATCATTAGCCAAGTTGAATTACTTAATTCATTTCATAAAACATCGCCTGTATGTAAATTGCAAAAGACCACTAACTGAAATACCTCATAACATAGATGTGAGTATCTAAGTCACAGATCTACAACACGTAGTCCGGACAATATCCTGATACATTATTAATTACAACTAGAAACAACTAAGCATAAAGTCAAGTCAAAGTGGCATGGACAATCCCCATGCTCATCCAAACAAGGCAGCAAAGCCCCACAACAGTCTCAACAATAAAATCATGAAGCTAAAAGCATAAGAGGCAACAGTCAATATCCAGCATCCAGCATAAGTAGCATAACAACATAATATCAGCTAAGCTCCGGCCTCCTGCCGCTAGAGGTCTCAACCCCCGCATTACCTGAACCTAAAATATGTGCCCCAAACGTGGGGTGGGATCTCTAAAAAGAAATTTCAGTAAGACAAGGGGTCCTCAAG